ACTGACAGACCATCTATACACAGAATTGTTTTTTTGAGTAGAATGATTTTATACCATTGAACTCAAATTTAACACATTACAGTGACCCATCCGACACTTGTATAGCAGGGCAATACCCACATGTCAACCTTTTTTTAAATTTTTATTTTTATTTCCCTCATAAACATATACAAGATTATAAAAAATAAGATACATGTGAATTATTATCAAGAGCACTGATAAAATGCAGGTAGGCATTAGTGTACTACTTTGATAGTTGATTGTCAATTAAGAGGTAAGTAATCATGGAAAATAATAGTATCATTAATATGCTGTACTTATAAGAAAAACTTTTAATTTAACACAAATTAGTGGTTGTACCTAAGCAATATATTAATATTGTATAATTTTTATAACAATACCCATTGAAACTAATTTTGTAAAAATATTGTTCAATAAATGTAAACACACACAATTTGATAATCAGTAAAAATATTTAACAACTGACCTCAATATCAGATGAACCAAGACTATGGATTGCAGATACCATAAATACATCTTTAAAGTTTTCCCAACCAACAGACCGCTTAAGTTTTTTCCCCAACATCCTCTCTTGAATTTTTAAGTTTTCATGAGTTCTTCGTTTTTCAGGTGTCATAGTGTACGGTTCAGGAATATGAATGTTATTATGTTTAAAACATGTTAAAGACCGTGCCAAATCTAAGAGATAGCTTTTAGATTTTAAAAGATCTATCTAAAACACAATAATTGTTTGTTTATAAATGAGTGTACAAGATAATTATTTTGTATAATATACACTGAAACTTCCAAACTTTCCATTACAAGTCACATGGGAAACAAAAAATAATCTCATTATAGAGAAATTTGTGGAATAGAACAACATATATTTGGTTCTATTATAGTTAGGTTCCTAAAAAATCCTATAGCACTAAAAAAATACTGTACCTATTTATATTATGCATACTGTCAAGAGCAAAAATATAGGTAACCAAGCCATAACTTATTGAAAATGGTACACGGTAATAAGGTTAAGACCTGGTCAAGACTAATAAATAATAAGTTAACATACAAGGAATGTATGTGTTTATTATCAACTTTTTACACAAATATTTACTCACTTTATTTAGAACTAGAAATGAATCTTTGTTAGGATAAAGATGTAAAAGCCTCAACACTTTGGGATCTAAATGGTTCCTTGTGTACCGATTGGACACGTCATGAATAACACCAATTATATCTGCTTCTTCGATTGAATTAACTGAATCATTAGCAAATGTCTTTTCTAAATTAAACCTATGGCAATGGTAAGATGTTTATGGTGACATAATTAGTAAACAGTTTGTTATAGTAGTATTTCTATTTTAAAAATGATGATTACTTTGCAATTTCTGTAGAGTCTACAAGACCAGGAGTGTCTAAAAATACTAATTGTGTATCGCCCACACTTCGTACTGCACGGACACTAGATCTTGTAGTGTGAACTTTACAAGAATAAGGACATACCTGTAAAACACAGTTGTACAAATTATCAAGCATAAAATAATTTTGAGTTTATTAACTAAATTTACTTAAGTAGGTATTTAAACATTTGTATTATAAGCTTATAACACTTGTTCATACCTATTCATTTCGATTTTACTTACATTTCTTTGTACAATAGAATTGATTATAGAGCTCTTTCCGGCATTTGGTACACCTATGATGGCTACTTTCAACAGACGCTGACGCTGTGTTTCAATGAAATCATTCTCGTTTTGGCTGTCACAGTTGCTATGACTTTGCTCTGGGTTTGAACTATAGTTACACTTCAATAGCGTATAAACACGATTCGGTATTGCAATTGGTTTTAAACCGATTGAAAGAAAAATGGTACTGAAATACTTAGCCATTGAATGAAAGTAGCAAATTAGATGTTAACAATAGAACAACTCAAAGTTCTAAATGTTTAAATTAGGTGCCTACGTTTTGTTGTATTTCAACAAACTGCACTATAAAACATAAACATTTTACTAGAGCTAAGAATAAATAATGTAAAAACACAAAGAACTAACATGATGTGGTTTAAGATTCTACATCAAATTTCGAAATAGTTGAATAAAAAATTGAAAATAATTTGTGTATAGAAATAATAGTCAAAAAGTTAACCGGTTATCACTTATTATTGTGGTGATAACTACAGCCCAGTATCACAGAATATTCTGTTATTCTGTGCCAGTATCACGATTAAAAATAAAATACTATCGCAGTATGTTAAAATAATGAACTATATTTGGCAAAAATTTTTTTTTGAGTGCCATTACTCATTATAGATTATTGATTTCAGTGTATAAAAATATTGTTGAAAGTAAAAATGATTTAGATCTTGTAAACCTTACTAAATTTTTAATAGTTTTACAAACAAGTGAACCAAAATTGACGATTTGACTATTTGAGTATGAAAATGTTCAGAAAAAAATGTTTTACCAGAATCTATTAA